TGATTTATTGCGGCAATTGGCGCTACTTACTGCGCGCGAGGTCCGAGGATTAGATTCAGCTTGTATGCCGTCCAGACCAGTCTATGACATCCCTTCCGGGGCAGGGTCAACCGTTACGTTGGACCGATATTGGAGCGACGTTGGACCGATGTTCACCGCTCTCCGCGCCGGCATTCACTCTCGCCACCCGCGAGCCGTCTGTGTCTCCGTGCGTACGTTCACTCTCGGCATTACTCTCGTCGTCGCGTTGGACTTTGTCCAACGGACGGTTGACCCTGGCTCCGGGCGCAAATCGTATCGAACTAATGGGAAGTGGAAGAATACAGCTGCTACACGGTTCGGCCCTCTCGAAGCCATTGTATAGGCCAAAGCGCTTTTGAATGTCACTATGATTCTGAATGAGAGTGGAACGCGTGGCGCATCCCAACAATTCACTTGATCGGATGCATTACGCATTTTCTCACAAGCTGAACGAGGATGGTGTAAAACTGGGAATAAAGAATCATAATATGATGGCACTCCTTCCAAAAAGATCCAATCATACTCGCCTGCAAAGTTCAGAACGTTACTCCTTTCTGCGCATTTCTTGCCCTATAATAAAGATTTATGAAAACAGTTGATTTAAAAAGACTTTCTAAAGGGGCCTATCCTATAGTATATAATCGGCTAAGCGCGATGGTGTGTGTGTCTGACCGGAAATTCATAGCGCCCTTCGGTGCAACAGTGGAGCGCTGTATTTTGAATATTGTAGGGCGGTGGGACAGGAACATTATTTGGTGGGGGACCCAAAGTGATAACGACTGATAAGATCGATAAGAGGCGCCCGCCATAAACGCCAGAACGTTGGTCCCAGAGCGCTGAAACTTTAGGATATGTAGGGGGCCTGGACACGAACACTGATGACGGGTGGCGGGAAGTGATAACAACTGATAGGAGCTGATAACGGACGTCGAAATGTTGATGTCACCAATTTCGTTACACCGTTCGCGTTGACGGTGGAGAGTTTGCACTCATGTATGATATGTGGGGTGAGGCGGGGACCAAAAGTTGAGTGAACGAATGTGGTAGCAACTGATAAGAACTGATAAGGGCGTCAAAGTGTGGATACCACCAGTTTCGTTGCGGCCCTTGCGGTTACATTGGAACCTTGGCTCTCACATGTGGTATAGGGGATGGGACGGGAACACGGATAGCGGATGATCAGAAGTGATAACAAGCGATAACGGTGATAAGGAAGTTAGGAATTCTGAAGTTACTGCTAATCGTTTACGCCTTGTCGTGGTGTCAGTGAATATTAGCTCCTACACGTTGCCTGGAGGTTGGGACCGGGACACCGATTGCGAACAGTATGAACTGATAAGAAATGACAAGGAATGATAAGAGCGTTTGAATGCAGGTCTCTACAACTTCGTTGCAATTATCACTGGCAAGCGATCAAGGTGGCGAGGGTTGAATGTAGGTGACAGAAAGTGGTATGAGCGGCAACTGTACTGATAAAAGTAGCGACAGTTGAGCGTGCACTCATTGAACTAAACCAGGTCCCTAGCACGTGAATATGTTCCATTCCTCCTTTCATCTAAAGAAGCAAAGAAAGTTGAGCTGCTCAACTATCTGGACTTGGACCAATAGCGAATTCCATTATATTTCCAATTTCCATCACAGCTCGGTTAGATGCTGATTGATTGGTTATATTTCACTTACACACCGATTCTTCAATTGTGGAAATTCTATAAACCGCTAAATCATTCGAGCTCGATATGAATGCTGAATGTTTACGAAGTCATGATAAGTACCAGCTTCATTCCGCATGCACTGCGCGCAATACGCGACAATCTTCAATGGGATAAGACAACCTTCAAACATTATGCGATACATCTTCCAGACATCTTACTGTTAGTTTCTCACGTGACCTAATATTCAGCAAGTTGTCCAGTTTCACTAAAGCCCACCATTTGATGCGCGCGGCTGCGTGCGGAGCTAAACTGGTATATAATAAGTTATTAGAGGCACGTCAGGACGCACTTTCTGTTCCACTGAAGATTTTGCAACGCAACATTTCGAATGCGCGGATTGAAGAACAAATATAATAAAATGATAATCGATACTAATATAATCAAAGCCATTTCAAAGCAATATCATAAAGTCATACCTCGAAGCTTTTTCTGTGTAAAAGATTTGGTAGAATATGTGGTAGGATCGTTCGCCAGGTGCTTGTTTGATCACGCGGGATTTTTCAAGTAAATCTGAAGTTTGCTTTTTAATTTGAAGATGTTATCTATATCGTTTCCATATTGAGCATGTGGACATTTCATGGTTGTTACACTTGGCACATTACCAAAGTTTCACTTCACTTCAGCAGAAGTGACTACTAGGTTGATGTAATACCTCAAGAATGATATCAATATATGACAATAAAATTAAGAATCAACATAAAGCTTTACAATGTTCGATGTCTCCTCCAACCAGCTTACCGCGTTTGTCGAAATGAATTCGAACAAATTTACCGTATCTCGACGAGTTGTAATTTCTGAAATTATGCAGTGCTTTGATAAAACAGAGCGACAATATTGATATAAATGATAAATATGATAATAATATGCATAATTAATGAATACAAATAATTATTGTTTGTTTCTAATGCTTTCATCCGCAATAATTCCTTCTGATTATCGCCACCACTGCACTGTTTTTTGTCAAACTGTTTAAGATGACTTTGTGGCATTTGTTAGAGAAAGACTTCTTTTTTAATTTCATCGATTATCGGCTCTTCTATACGAAAACTATTCTGATTCTAATTCATTTCGGTACCGATAACGAGTGCGGTATTATCATCGTCTTGCTCGACCTGAATTCTACTCAAAGGCATAGTCCGCAACCAAAATTTTCAATTATTTCGCTAGTAAATGAAACAATAGGTACAAAGCAGACAATCACTGATTCAAAAAAGCGAAAAAAAAACATAAGAAACTTGAAATTTGAGGCCTTCGTTCTTACGAGGTCCATCATGGTCCAGCAGAGAGGCAAAGCGCAGTCAGAGATGGAAAACACGAGAGAACCCGCAGCACGAGAGGGCGCAGATGCTGCAAACGCTGCGAATGCGCGAATATGGTAGCGATTGCGGCCATTAAGGAAAGGCCTTAGCGTCCATGCAGTGCAGTTTCGAGTGGTGACGTGCTACGATCTCAGTGTGTTCCTTCTGTGTCTTAAAGGAATCTTCCACGGAAAAAGCTCCGCCCTCATTACCACAGAAAACGATACCTTAAAGGAATCTTCCACGGAAAGAGTGATCATTTTGTCTTGTGTGTAGGATTAGTATTATCGAAACTAACGCTTATGTTCCGTTCTTTTTGCTATGCTCATGAGGCTAGGGGCCTAAGGGGTATCGTTTTTCTAGGCGTGCATGGCGAGGCGCGAGCTTTTTCGCGGAAGTTCCTTTAGAGATCACTCTTTCGAAGGAGGGATGTGGGCAGAGGGGTTTAGGCATGCTACTGAATTTTAAGTCTACTAAACGAAGTAACCCAGAAGAAGCAATCAAAACGCCCTGGGTTAGACCCTCTCGTTCAGAGTTGCTTTGAGCATCGTACGAGCGCGCGGCGAAGATATAATACATTGGGCGAGCGGGAGAAAAGACTTCTGAGAGTTGAGGGAGCAGGGAAATAAGTAAGACACAGGCAAAGCATATGTAATCCCTTTCAATTGAGGGCGGGCCCCCCCCCCCCTCATTTAGGCATGAAGCGTAATTCCAGGCCAACGATAGATGCCTGGAAGGATATGATATGACGGTATATTATGATATATAGGATATGATAGGCATACATAGATGCGCTGATTTTCCTCTTTATAAGGCTGCATCTGTGATGTCAACATTGGCCTCAGTGAAACTGAGTGTAGAAGGGCCACTGTACTGAGAACATACTGCTTTCAATCGATTTGCGATGATTATTAAGCGACAAGCGCGACGATAAAGCAAGTATTTTTCTCATAGCATCATCAAACACAATAATACATCATACGAAGTACCAACGAATACCACTTTTTTCTGCCTTTAAAGCAACAGTCCAGGCAGGGTTTCAACTACTTGGTCATTAGGCGGTCAAAACATGCCCCAGCCCAACTAAAGTTTATAGGAAATGTCTTTAATTTCAAAACCTACCTCTAAAATGCGCTGGAAGGGGTCGAAGTCCTCTTGGAGGGGGCGGATCACCCATAAAGAGGCGGATCGCCCAACATACGCTGTGCAGAGCGCTTGCTCGACTAGCGGTCGTTGCGGGACCGCCGCGCTGTATGAGGGGAAGAACCCAACTTCAATTTCGATTGCTGGCAAATAGTTATGTATTTGCAAGCATGCATGGCTATTTGCCAGCAGTTGCAATTGGAGCGCATGTACTACGGGCAGGTTCGGACAACTCGTCCAACACACGTCTCCCTAAACGGCAGGGGGAGTCCCTGTCTAAGCCCCTGCCCGACGTTTTTTTCTACTTTTTCTTTCTCCATTGACCAACTTCTCACCTGCAACGTCATTATAGGTGGTCCTTACCCGCGAATTCGTTCCTGGATTGTTGCTTTAACAAGTCTAGCAGAGCCCGAGTGACGGTGAATAAGTTACTTGGTCCTGATTATCAACCCTCAGGGTAAACATCTACCATGCTCAGTTGATTGATCGTTCTAGGTCTCGAGATACTTCTTAGCCGGCTGATGAGACAGGAATATGTTACTACTTATCATTGCCTTGCACCAAACGATCGACCATTGAGAAGCTGCGGGCCCAGGATTAGCGCCTCGAGAGATCCGACAATATCGGCTGAAGAAGAAATTAGCTTTTCTTAATCACGCATCTGGTAGGAACATCCGGACATTGCCTTTCAGCGCCTCTTATCCAGCCCTTATCAGTCGTTATCACTTTCTGACCCCCACCAAATATGTTCCCGTCCCACCCCCTATATCATGTCCCAAAATCAGCTCCTGACGACTGCTGCGAAGCGCACTATGAATTTCGTGAAATTTGTGTTTCAGCGCCTCTTATCTGCTCTTATCAGTCGTTATCACTTTGTGACCCCCACCAAATATGTTCCCGTCCCACCCCCTATATCATATCCCAAAATCAGCTCCTGACGACTGCTGCGACGCGTGCTATGAATTTCGTGACACACACACACAGACAGACAGACGTTTTATATAGTAGTTAGTTCTGCCGATACTATTTTAGAGTGTGCCCAATCGAAATCACCTCACTGTGGCCTCCGTTTGCCGAAAGCCTCAATAGCAGATTTTGCCTGTGCCACCACTGATTACTTATTCTAGTGAGCTCCTGAAATTATGCACAAATTATACCTAGCTTTGAACTTTTTGGAATCTGATTTAGTCAACGTAAATGAAGAGTTTTAAAAAGTCCATCGCTCTGAAATTCGTTTATGGTGCGCCGTGCATTTGACCTCATTCAGGAATTGTACAGTATTCTAATGGTACCAGGGTCCACGAACAATGTATGGTGAACCCCCATGCCGCCGAAAACATGGCCCCTCTATTCCAAGGTAGTACTTCTAAATATGCAGCGCGTATTCAATCAGCATTAGAAACAATGCGATTCTACGACCACGGAATTGAGGTGGCGCGCTTTCATCGTTGCGCTAAATATTGAAAAGGTTACTGTAATAATCACTACGATAGGTGAAAATCCACTGCGTGAGCTTGTCCACCTTACTGCCCATTAGTCGCTCAGCCGCTGAAAGAGCCTCCAGTGCGCATCGCTTACAAATAAGAATATAGATAATGCCGAACAGTACTAAGCTTGAAAATCCACCTTAGAGGATTGGCCACTTATTGCCATCTTATCCGTCAGTACTAGAGAGCACTCCTTTGGGCTATCGAACACTACGGATAAGATAATAAGTGAACGACTCATTTCGAGCGTACTTTTGATAAGGACCGGTGGATGTCCTACATTCCACACTACCTGCCCACATCCCATCCACTTTTCTGCACAGGTGATCCACCCTGGAGCTCCTCAGGCTGAGGCGAGTTGCGGATCTTCTTCAGGGTTACTTCCAAAGTACACCGGTACTTATCAGAAGTAAGCTTCAAATGAGTCCCCCTCCAGATTGGATTGACACCCTGCGATATCCCCAATTTCCGCCTTTCTTAAAACCTTGGCTTTGTTCTTGAGCACTTCGTTAATCCATTCTTCTGAACTAAGGTCACTGTAGTGATCTTTGCCGTCTTTACTGAGCTTCTTTTATACCAAAGCAATCCTGAAATCCTGCCCTACAATAGCTGATTTGCGAGCAAGAACTCGCCAACACCGCAGGACTTGTTGAGTTTTTTGAAGTAATCTTGGCGAATCCTCGCGGATGAAAATCTCTCGAAATCTCGTCGACCGTGTCCCGTGTTTACTTTGAGCGTGTCGTCTGTTTGCGGCGGCTCCGCTGAGACTCAGAGAAAACAGTACAAGAGGAGGAGTTCTACAGCAGCTTCGATGAGTTCTTAAGCACGCAAGATGTTCTCAGAGACGAATAACTCACATCAGGTAGAACGTTTGTAAAGAATTCAAGTACTATACTTGCGATGTTTCTATAAGGATTTGTTACACTGATAGTCCATTTCACGATTAGCCGGTGGAGCAAACTATGAATAGCTGCCGCACACCGTCGGGATGCATACCATTCCTGGTCCTTAGAAGGCCACCTATCCTATAACCAACGGTAGGACAGTGTCAGAATTCAGTCACATTTCGCATCGTTACATTGGAAAAACAAAGAATTAGACGGAGATGGTGCAGTAGCAAGTGGCGCGCTTACCACGCGAGCGGTCCGGGGATCAAATCCTGGGTCGTGAGTCGCCCGGGCCAACCAAGCCTTCCATCCCTCCGGGGTCGGTTAATTGGTACCAGACTTGTCTGGGAGGATAAAAACACTGACTTGTACATCGGCTGGCCCCCGCAAGTCATTGTATAGGCCA